CGATCGGGGAAGGTCCATGCTCTCACAGAATACCAGAGTAAAATAGCAAACACTGATGTGTTTGAAAATTTTACCAAGAGAAATGTTACAGTATTAACCTAACAAAAACATACTTAATCCAACCATCTTGTCAGGCACACGGATGTAATCATTGATTTGCTGATCTTGCATAAGATTAGGGGGGCCACTAGCTGGAGGCGCTGGTGGAACACTCTGATTTGAAGATATACGAGCTGCCGCTGCCGCTGCAACTGCTGCCACTGCTGCTGTTGCACTGTACACAATAATATCAACTCATGTTATATTGCCAAAAGAATAAATGCTATGCTAAACTCACTTGTCCTTTCTTATCCTTGATCTTATACCTGACGTAACACTTCCACAACTAGGATAGTGTCAAAGACAGGTCCCTAATAATATCTGATAATTGAATGACAATGTTTTAGTAGCAATGCAAATTTTTTATAAGTAATTTCATATTGTATGACATTAATTTACACAACATTTTTGATTTTATGTTTCTCTAGGATTATTAAATTATTCATTATAATATTATAAATATTGTTTGTTTATAAAACTTTGTTTCAAACAGACTGTGATTATTGCCTCCTTAATATTTATGTTATTGTAGGTAAAAATGTGATTGCAAAAAATAATTGAACATTTTTGTCAAAATGGCTGATAATAATTTTCATACTTCCTTTCTAATAACTATTTAACTTAATTTCAATATGTGGTCCTCAATAGTGCTTGCTGACTAATAACTTCCAATAGTTTTTTTTTACTATATGCAAGTAAGCATTAGAGTACTAATCATGACAGTATCTCCACCAATGGCAATGTTTAATTCTTGAGTTTCGGTGCAAGATTGGCAATTTGCTGTTACCCAATAAAACTATGGAATTTAATAATACTTACTATGAAATACAACAAAATACAAAATATATTTTTTTGCTCATATTAATATCATTTATACCCACAAGTATGTAATTAATTTTAAAACTCAATATATTAATGATATTGTTAGAATAGAACTTGTATTTTAAAAAACCTCATTGATTGTTGTTGTTGAGGAAATCCTGAATCCACTGGCGCCAATTTCTTTGCACTCGGTTCGGATCCGTCTTCGAGAGGTCTCTTGCTTCCACCTCCACCAATTTTAGCCGCAATCTAGGATTAAGATTAAAACAATAAGTACGCTCACGAAGTAATTAAGTTGTAAGGTATAATTTTTAACGTCCACACGCCAAATAAAAAAGTAGGTTAGACAAACGTACTGGTCGGATGAATGACGTTGGATTATCATTTCTAATTAAAAAGAGGGTAGATTATCATGTAAAATTAAAATTAAGATTTTAATGAAGGTAAGAACAAAAATTTTATACGTTGAAAATACAATGCGATGATGTCAAAAGAACGATTATGCAGATGTCGGTCTACTCACCAAGCTAGCACGTTGTACAGCAGCCGCAAATCCTGCCGTTTGGCTATTATTCTGAAGCGTAGCCATAGAAGAATAATCACTCATGTTTGATTTAACTGCACATTCAACCGCGAAATACGGCAGCCATTAATAAAGGACCAGGAGACCCAAAAATTACAAGACACTTGCCCCGCAACTTGCGAGAGAGACGCGAACCATAAACAAAAAGAGAGTGTGTTTTATTTTTACCAACGAATAACGAAGAAGCAAAGAACTAAAGCCATGCCGTTTAATCAGATACGTACACCACATAAGTACTTTAACTTTAAAATTCAACTAAAAATTTTAAATTCAAGGAGTGTTTTGTGAATTATTCAAAATCCTTCTTAAAAGTATAAGTACTTAAAGAATAAAAAAAATTATATTGCAATCTCTCATAATTAAAAACCTACTTAAAAAAAAAAACTTTTACTATTTAAGTGTTTTATTATACTATAACTATTGGTTCTCGAGTGGCTGCCTAGTAACAGTAAGCGAAGGTATAGGGAAGAAATAGATAGAGTGGCACACTGATGTCAATGGATGCAAGAGGATCAGGCACCGCGTTTATTTGGCATTTTTTTTTTGCGGAAGCCTATGTTTAGCAGTGGCCTTGTTATGCGCTGTAACGATGATGATGATGGTACTTATTATAAAAATAAAGCAAGCAAGCTACATTGGACACAACCGCTGGCAAGTAAGCAACCCAACTAATGCCAGGTTAGTTGAAAACCGTTATTTTTAGTAAACTTGGAGATCGGGGTAAGATTTTATTGGTGTTATCACGCAATGTAATCAAAATCATCGGATAAACGTAAATGTTAAATATTATCGGATATATCAAAATCAAATCGGTATTTATGATTAGTACTTGCTATCAAACGTACAATACATAATTTATTCCTTCTCGTCTCTTTGTCTAGATAGATCACAAACGGGAAGCAGTGTCAAATGTGCGAAACGTCTGGTACTGCGAACGTGAATCTGGGTAAGGTTTGAAAATAGGACGCCTTAATTGGAGGGGTTAGGGAAGGGGGGTAGGGAGAGAGATATAGAGTCGCTTCCTACTTTATTTTCCTGCCGGATGTGCAGTTTTTTTTTTATAAATCTTTAAAAATCTCATTTCGAGGTTATATTTTCGTAATGTTTTTGACAATACATATAAACCTGATTTATGGGGATAGAGAGCTAGGGGAGGGGAAGCTCCACGCCACTCAACGTGGTATAGTAGAGGGTAGCCTGGTCGACGGAAAGGGATTGCGGGGTCTATTTGCTCGCTTCGCTCGCTCAGTCGACCCCGCCATCCCCTTCTAACCTAACCTGTCCGAGTCGGGGTGCCGCAGATCCCGAGCTCGCTTCGCTCGCTCTTGCACTCAGTAATACCCAAAAATATTAACTTTTATAAAGGCAAATAAAAACGTAAGGGAGCACATTCACGTAAACTCGGAAGCAATGGAATGACTTAAAGTATATTGTCAATGTCAACAAAATTGCCGGGGTTGGGTTTGAAAGTAAAGCGCCTGTATTTTGCCGGCCTATCGATTAATTTTACGCATTTTGAGAGGACTTAGACAGATACAACGGCAAAAACGTTAGAATTTAGTTAAATATGCGATCCATTTCACGTTTAGATAGTGATTTACCAATAGGTTTAAAAAATATTTAAAAATACTTCGACGCTGCTCCGGCAGCAAAAATCGCATGGGGGTGCTTCAGATAAACCCCCTTTTTGGGTCTGTCAGTATTTAAGAAATAAACAAATTCACGTCGCCGTAATTACTCAGGATTACAGCTTCTATGAGAACTTAGGCAGAAGAGAAAAATTTCATTATAACATAACATAATGACGAAATTGAGAGTTCATTGATTTAAATTAAACGACAAAACAGCGAGTAATACGACTTAAAGCATTTAAGGTGTTTATAAATTTTATTCCTTTTGATCATAGTGTTAACACAGCACATACTTATCACGCTTCGTCTCATTTGTAAAAAAGATTTGGAACATGTTCAAACTCTTTTAGTTATTTTAAGCTCTTTTCTTAAAATTAAGACTTTTACGAATCGTTTTTACTATCGGGGCTAGAAAGGAAATAAATATCACCATTGTGTTGTTTATTTAAAAACATATTTTGTCTATGGTTGGTAACGATAACGAGTCGTGGACCCGCATCGAGTGGTTTTGTTAATGCTTATGAGGTTCGGTTTCAATTTCAATAATAATTTTTAAATAAATATACAATGTACCTATTATGTTATTTGAAATTCACAGGTTCTAAATAAACAAATTTGGTGGTTTGTAAAATTAATATTATTAGAAATTATTATTATTAAAAAAAAACACGTAATGAACAACAATTTTATATAATGATTTCTTATATTTACGCAAATCATACACATTTAATAAAACTGCTTTCACATATTCTATCGCGTTCAATTAACATATTTTTATTAATTATTAAAAATAATTTAGTTAAACGCGATAGAATTTGTAAACGTAGTTTTATTTAACAATTTTATAAATAAAAATATGATTAAGTAAGTACTTAATAAGTGGGGATTGTCTAACTTGATAGGTCCAACTTCGATTGAAAGCTCAATAGAAGATTATATATTCAGGTTCACTCAGCTATGTTTAGCAATGGACTCGTGATGGGCTGTAATTATTATGGTGATGATGATTTAATAGTGTAAGAAGGAACATACCAACAAGGGGGTTATTCAAATTTGTCTCTGATGTATCAAAATATACTAAACATCATTGACCCTTTTTTATAATATTAGTATCGAAAAAACTAGCAATTCCTTTGGTGGTATGTATGTGGCATTTACAGCCCAAGCCTACAAAAGCCTACAAAAAACTTCAAGCTAAGAAGATCAAAGGCAGACTGATTATAAGATGGTCATTACGACTACGAGGATAATCGATTTAACGTTTACCAATACGCCAGTCCAACGTGACGGTGGCAGGTAGACAATTGTTTAAAGAGAGAAGGGAAGTTATTTTGCACATTCTTGAAAATCATATATACATATTCAATTGGCTAAAAAAACTAGAAGAATATGATGATGACTCCTGGATATTTAACTCTTGGTTTATACGGTATATCGCTATATATTGGAGGTCATAAGGTCTGACTCTTGGCCACAATGTCATCATATGTCAAAAGAAAATAATACTTGCAATTATATACATTTTTTTGATTTTTTTAAGCGTTACATGTTACTAAATAATGTCAAACAATATTTATTCATAATTTATAACTTCAGAATATTTTAAAAATAAAAATGAAAAAATGCATAATATTATATCACCTCAAAATATGTTGTTTAATAATATTACATCAAATTAATACAAAGTAATATAATATATCTATATACAATTCTCTATTTAACTTTCTTTAATAATTGTGTATCAAATATTAATTTTGTTGTAACAGAACGCAAACGTTTTTTTTTCTATGTTGTGGGTGCGTGCATTTGTGTTGTCCGGTGTTTGAAGACGCTTGGAATTCGCTTTCAATTTCTTCGTAGGAAAAATGTCGGGTGATACCGATAAAGCAAAAATCAGTGATAATCAGGTATAGTTGTGTATAATATATTTTAATTTCATTTCTTTATATTGGTGCGCGTCTCTTAAGGACATTTTAAGCTGTGAAGTGCTGTTATTTCCGTGTTATATCACTAATGTTTGCCTGCGTCTCAACATGGCTGACAGAACGTTCGCTTCCCGCTAAACGCGGGAACTACGCCACGGAGGGTTGTGATATTAGTCATTATTTCGCATTAAAAACTGTGAATGCTGTCATGATCAGTTAAAGAAACTGATTCTAATGGGATATTTTTCAAGAAATCGCATATTTTTGCCACCCCCGCCCCTTTGCATTTCGTTGCAAGGCCTTTGTTAATGTGCACGATATTATATGACATTGATAGGAAATCCGCATGACCTTGATATTCTGTTTCTTGCGTATTTTCTATTCAGAGGCCCCTCGAGATTCGTTGTTATTCCACTGAACCTCTGCCTCGCGCCTTTTTCCTCACGTTCGGAACGCGGCGGGCGATGTAAATAAAACTATGTGTTGGTTTTTTTGGGGCCTTTATTGGTGACCTCTTTCATTTTCTAGCAAGAAATGTTTGCAACTTGTTATATTAGTATTGTATTTTTATGATAATGATGTAAGATTATTTGTGAAAGTTTATTTAAGACATGTTTTGAATATAATATGACCTTAACATTTAGGAGAAAATCCATTTTGGATAGTATTCGCACATAGATTGTACCTATACATTTGTATATATTGCACATAGACAATACGGTAGTGTAGCGAAATACATAGATGTATTGAAATATGTGTTTTACTCATTATTGCTAGAAGATCTATTTTTGTTTAATGGTACAAAACTTCGACGCCAGAAGCATCTAGGTGCAGATTTTGGTAGATTTTCTAACAGATTTTTGTATCTTATTACTTAGAATAATTATATTTTCTAATTTATGTGCATAATGCAAATGTTTTAATTTAGTTAAAAATAATATATTTCTATCTATTTTACTTATCAATTGTATTGTGAAATCAATATGTTGTAATGTATCTGTCATTAACCTAAGTGATAATGTATTATTCTATTATATTATAATATTAAAAACTTATAATGAATGTAATTGTATGTATTAAACATATCTTAGAATGAATAATGAGCATAATATATCACAAAATTTGTTTTATATTAAAAAAGTAATAATCTACATGCATCACACTGCATGGCCCAAGCCTCGCTTTCATTTCATAAAATATAATTTTAAGATGTTGTTGAACTTATAGATTATCTTCATTGTAAAATAATAAAATAAAGGTACATTTTGTATTAAAATAGAGTTATATTAATTAAAAAGTAATATAATCAGGTCTAATTTAGTGTCATAAAATATAAAAATACACCCATTTTCTAAGGAACAAGTCTTTCTTCAATTAGATTAAAAAAAAAGTGAAAGGTCATGATATCATAACTAAGTTATGCCAGTGGTCTAATAGTAAGTAACTAAGGAAAATGTTTAAATGTACTTCAAGCATAATAATGTTTTGTGAGCATATTAATTTGGTTTTATTACCACAAAATTTAGTCAATGCCAATCTGGGCTTTAAGGCTATAGTATAACTACACTTTGCACCTCAAAATCTTATATGACAAATGAAAAACGTAAGCAAATGGCTTACGTTTTTCATTTGTCATATTTGAGAAAAAATATTCAATGAAAATGTAAGCAATTATTTGTAAGTTCATGGTAAAATGATTATTAAATAAACTGTTATTTCTGTGCAGGATGAAGACAAGAAGTCTAGTGCAGGCGACGGCCACACAACGGAGGATGAATCCTCACAGGACTCCAAGGGTGAGTCCATGACTCAGTCAGGGGCCCAAGGTAAAGCAGATGTAGATCAACAAAATAACACGGAGCAGAGTGAATCAGGTCAGGATTGTGAATATTGGTCAATGTGGTCTCACTCAGTGTTCATCTACATTGCAACTAACCTTTGGGGCTGTGTTGTCTGTCTTGAAATTCATTTATTTATATTAAGTTAAAAAAAAATTGTAATAAAAATACACACATCCTCTCTTCAAAATTGGTTGTCTTAAAGTTAACAATGTTAAAAAAAATGGGTTTAAACGTAATTTTTAAGTTTCCATTACAAAAATAAATTTGTAAAGATAAGTCAGCTGTCAAAGATGACAGAAATTGGATTCTGCACTGATACTGCCTTCTCATTCATGATCACACAGTTCATGTTGCTTTCAACATATAATACTAAAAATGGGCGTGCGTGCGTGTATATATATATATATGTGTGTGTGTTTTTTTACATCATACGTCAATCATCAGTGTAAAAGGTAAGTTCATTTTTTGTATGCACCTTGTGGGGATATACATGTCACTGCTGTTATAGCCTCTAAAAAAGATTTGACTGTTAATTGTTTTTGTAAACAAAAATATTTACACATTGTTATTTAGAACAATTGACATTTAAATATGAAGTAATTAGGTACCTACATACCTACCATACTCGAAGTTTATGTTTAACTTTGTTTTTACTACTTACCTAAAATCTTTCGCGCCTAATTTTAAAGGACGATGTATTTTTATACTGCATAAAAACATACCGACACAAAAATAGGAAACAAAATCATTTTAATTTTGTCTCGATATTGTAATCATCAAGGAGTTGTTGAGTTAGAGTACTTTTAAAGCACTTAGGCGAACGACACTATGTAGACATCGTGGTGGCAGTGTTGTAGGCGCGACATTCGACGGCAGAAACACAATAGAATAAATCGAACGGTATGCTTGCAAAACTAAATATTATTTAATTACTTTGTTATGTTTAAATAAAATAGTTTAGTTTATACTGATGTTATCGCGTATATTAACTTATATACCCGACGTTTCGAGTACTTTAATAGCACCCAAATTAATCAATCTGCCTCAGCAGCAAGTTTGAGGGTAGTTGTATATCTGGCAGTATCAATGTCGCTGAGATTAGGTGACTTAATCGCTGCCGTCACTTATCGTCGCCGTTCAAGTCGTCGACCGAATGTCGTTCGTCTATAAGCGCCCTTAACACCAGGTATATTATATTTACGCAGGCGTAAACGGTACTCTACCACGGTAGAGCCATGCTGCGGCCATATAATGGTTGTATAGCACGAATGGGTTGGCTCGACCGGGAAAGAACCACGCTCTCACAGTATACCAGCGTAATATAGCTGCTTAATAGCTGGCAGAGAATGCCTTTTCGGCGTTAAGTTCGCCTTTCTATCTAATAATTTTTTTTGACTACAATAAAGTATTTTCTATCTATCTATCTATCTATTAACTGTGGAGAACCAGAGACTCCCTTTCACTGGAAACGAGGCACTCTATCTTATTCCTCGTTCTTGATCGAGGATTGATGAAGGTATCTTGCGCATACGAGCAATCCGAATTTAATCCTCGCTACGTAGTAATAATATATTCTTTGTCCCTACAATCACAACTGAAAGTGTTCTAACATCTAATTTATCATGTGATTGATGGTTATGAAAAAAGAAAGAGCATGTCTTAGGAACTAAAAATCATCATCATCATCATTAATATTACAACAGATCAAAGTTCACTGTTGAATATAGACCACCTCATATATTGGCTTATACATAAGTGGAAGATTTGCCGTATAAAGTCACGCGGAATGGCAATCGCAGTGTTTTATATTCTAGTTGTACAACAACGGAAACAGGAACGGAATGGAACAGGAAAACGCTGCAGTCCAATTAGATTGTTTTCTCTCTTCCCTCTATCATCTCTTACGACACTTACGGGACAATATGGAGTAGGGGATATTCTTACAACACCACTACACGGTCGCAAGAAGAGAAACTAAAACACGACGACATATGTGAAGTCGTCAATTTGCACAAAAGCGGTGCGGTACGCCACATTTTTTCATACAGTGGGACGATTTAGTTAGCGTTTTTAAATACTCGTTAGCAAGTATGGGTCGGCGCGAACGGAAAAAGATCACGCTCTCACGTTCTTAACGTATACGAAATAATCTCAAGAACCAAGCAGCGTAACACTGCTACGTTGCATACGGTGAGTAACGATAACCGATAACCAGTTGCTAACACATATACTACAAGTCCCTGGGGACAGTACGTACATCTCATTGAGGATGTGGCTTTAGAGTCTAAAAGTAAAGTTTGGACCATAGTAACCTGTTTATTAAATGAACTAATTTACTAATTAACAACTTCATTTTGTCTTACGACCCGTTTCATAATGTAGGAAGTGCATAAAAATACCACATAATTAAATGAAATTATTTTACGGATTTTATCGCGTTTAATTTAATTTTTTAATTCCTGACGTTTTGGGTGCTTTATAGCAGGACTGTGAGGTGTTTGATGTCCCGATGTCATAGTTAGCCCGGCTACCTGCAGTTTTCTTAATTATTAATTTTGGCCCGATCTACGCAGAATGAACTTACTGTATCAAGATACAAGTCTTGCAGTTGGGTTTGGATTTAATTTAATTAATTATACCACATAAAACAAAAGTATTTTAACAAAGTGGTTACCACGGTATTAAATAATAGTATGTGATTTTTTTTACATGCACTTCGTATAATTATGTAATTAAACGGATTAATATTGGAGAACGAAAGGTTTTTTTAAATCTGTTTATCAGACATAAGTGATAATTTGTTTGCTTTTATATATAATATTTCATTCATTCATCCATTACAGCTCATAAAAGAAAAACATAGGCTTTTCCCTTAGATTAATAACAAGTCATCTTAAGTCACTTCTCAATAATCTAAGGCCTTTCCCATAGAATGCCACCTAAGAGACAACCGCAGTTTTTTTAAATTTTGAGTTATTATCAGGAAGTTGCACCTCCCGCTTCAGTTTCTCTCTGTCGCCTTTACGACAACCACGGGACTATATGGGGTAGTGAGTATTCTTACAAAGTCACTACGCGGTTACTGCCAAAAACATATATTTACGTTTACACTGTATTTACAAAAAGTACAGAGAATGTAATTTTACAATAAAATATTTCCAACAAAGTGAATTTTAATTCATGTTTGGTTAATACTGCATCTTCTAAATATTAATTAGGTAGTAGCACAAAGTACAGCGTCTTTCGATCCGCCTGCCGAGCGTGACGATAAGGTAAATCCCTACAACGGGAGGCCCTTGCCCAGCCCAACCGTGGATTTTTCTGGTCTAATGAGAAAGAAAAACAAGTTACTCAGTAGTCAATGACTTCTTTCAACATTTACATAGCTTGTCTTCTAGACCTAATATAATTTATTTATTCACTGATATAGTATTTATTTAGTTTAGTTTATTGTCCAGTAATATATGTAAATTTGTATTATAATACAAATCTACAGATAGTGATTTAGGGATTAAAATATAAACTTTTTGTATCACAAGACGAAGACATTTACGTGAATTTACTAGGCGCGAGACCGAGAGTAGTGTTGCAACGTATTGCATCAATTCCGCCGTAGAATAGTCGAGAACTCAAATACGCGAGTTCATTCATTCATTATGTAATAATTGTGTAGTCATGACAATCTGAGTCAAATATCGACTTCTCTTGAACGATATTTTGTAATCGATATTTTCTTAACCTATAATCGATAAATGCGATTTTTCAATTGAATATTTATTTTTATCAGTAAGCGTCTCCGGTTTTCTACATTCACCATACGAAACAGCAGGTTATAATATTTTATTTGAGAGCTGTCGCCGCTAAGGTCGTAATCTGCCTAGAGAATACCGGTTAGGCTCCCCGCGAACGAATTTTTTTATGTAGCTATATTATATCAGGATGTTTTTTGGGTTACTAAGCAGTTACTTTGTAATTGTTCTGGTATTATGAGATTGATAAATAGTTTGCTTAAATTAATTTTATCGTGTATTTTGGGGGCTATATACAAGAAAAAACATCTAGTCCTCTCAGCGCTGCAATTAAAATGTTAAGCCACATCGCTGAAGAGCCATTGGAATTTTTAATTATTAGCAACATCCCCACAATTATGCACAAACATGAGTTTGAAATCCTAAGAAAAATTAATCATCTCCATTCCATAAGAACTATATATTACCCCAAAAATGAGACTAACCGTAATAGATCGACGACCCATTTATGGAGACAAGAGATCAAATAAATATTTACTCAATACTTAAAAAGTAATTTCATTGAATATGATATTACCCAAAAGGTAAAGGCGATACGGCTTTGCTTTCCGAGACGGCTATATTTAACTACCAGATTTTAGGGGTTAGAGGGTGTTAAGCCCCGCCCACTTAACTATTTTCCATCTACCGATAAATAGTAAAACTACTCGCATCGTTACATATCGATGTTGCAATGTGGTTTAGCTACCTTGACGATAGGAGGCGGCCTGTTAAAAACTATAAAAATTATATTTTGGCGATTGAAAATACTTTACGAATGAATGCAAAACAAATTTCAGTACCTTCGTATGATTATTTTACCAATACTAAGCGCTATGTATCTTTATATCTATATCTATATATCTAGTGTCGAATATATTTAATTATATTTGAAAGCCGACGCAATGAGAGTTTTCTAGAACTATTTTAATAAAATAGGTTTAAAATTACTTACTAATGAAATGTGATGCCATCCATACCATCAGAGCGTCTATCTGAGTAGTTTTTACACGATAGAACACAACACTTCATCCTTTTCTTCTTAATACTACGAAAATACACCGATTTGCGATTTTCGACACATAAGCGCAAAGGACGAACGCTGACAGTATACTAACTAAAGCTACGCCCACCGCGATAACGTCAGGACCTAGTTAGAATCATAGTGCACAGTTGCTTAGGCCGTCTCCTCTTTGTATTTGCTCCGTGATCGCGACACCGTATATATTCACCACCGTGTAAATG